ATCCAGAGCATGACGATCTATTAAATAAGAATATCTTTTGACCAACTATTAAATAAAATTCATCAAAAGAACCTATTCCATAAGGTCGAGTGGCATCCGTCACTCTTGTAAAGATTCATTTTCTCTACTTCTCGACAACAGTTTAATCGAACTTTATAATAATTGTTCAAAAATAAAATAAAATAAAATAAAATTCATCAAAAATATTTTGATACTTTCATAACCTATACCGTACAAAAATAGTGCAGTCCGGGATGAAAAAAAAAAAAAAGGAAAAACCATTCTAATGGACCGAATAGTCTGCAAAAGAGAGGCCCATTACACCTCCCTGTATATAGAGACCCAGCTTTTCTGCTGACCCTCCCAGTTTGCGCAGTTGCACTCCCCTTTTGTTTCGCGCCACTTCCCATCGTTCCCTTCCGGCGGAGTGAATTTTGTGGAAGAAAGATGTTGTGGGTGGACAAGTACAGACCCAAAACCCTAGACCAGGTCATGGTTCACCAAGAGATCGCCCAAAACCTTAAGAAACTCGTAAGCTTTTTCTCTTTCCCTCTTTTGGATAGAATTAAATCTCACAAATACTAATTCTTCTCTTCGATGTTCTCCCCCCTTTTCAATGATCTGCAATTCCTATGGGTTTTTAGAACGAATTGCTTTGTTTTCTTTGTTGAATTGCACAGGTGACGGAGCAAGATTGCCCGCATTTGCTTTTCTATGGCCCTTCTGGTGCCGGCAAGAAAACCCTAATCATGGCGCTTCTGAGACAGATTTTTGGAACCAGTGCTGAGAAGGTCTCCTTTCTTTTATCATCTGTTTCAAATTTCTTTTCCCCTTTCTCTGCATTCAAAACAAGTTGAGTTTAGGTTAAAGTTTCCTAATCTAAGATTATTAGTTAATCTGTTAAAGGAGAAAATTTCATGTACTATCTGGGTTTCCTACATTTATCTGTATTTTATTTTATTTAACCTTTTTCACATTGAATTGCTAAGTTTCATAGCTAATAAGGGTTTGCACTGTGTTGAATTCAGATAAAATGAAAAAATAATGAAATTTGCGTTAATTTTTAGTTCAGGGCTGTGCTTTTCATGGAATTGAGGAAGAAAAATTAGAAATTTTCTTTTCTTTACTTTTCAGTTTTTTTTTTTTTTTTTCTTAATTGTCCTTGAAGTTGAACTGAGAGTAATCTTTTGCATTTTGATTGCAGGTGAAAGTGGAGAATAGGAATTGGAAAGTTGATGTAAGTTACGCATTAATATCATATACCACTTTCATTAACGGGAAAAGACTTCATCTTTTTAATTGATGTTCTTAAAATTACAAGTTGGTGACTAAGTGAGAATTTCATTTTTAAACATCTAAAAAAGGATGGACAGGCTCTAGTTACATTAACATTCAGAAAATGTGAAAGTAACATCAGTTCTGCTGAGGATAATTATTAACCCCTTCTTAGTTAGTTGTGCAAAAGTATACATCTCTTTCTTAGAGTTATTGGACAATTTCACATTGACTATTCTCTATCATTTATACTTCACATCTTTGACTGGGTGTCTCCTTTTTTCTCCATTGAGTCCATTTCAGGCTGGAAGTAGAACCATTGATCTGGAGCTGACCACACTATCAAGTAACAATCACGTGGAATTGACTCCAAGTGATGCGGGCTTCCAGGATAGATATGTAGTTCAAGAGATAATTAAAGAAATGGCTAAAAACCGACCAATTGACACAAAAGGGAAAAAAGGATATAAAGGTGATCCCAGTTTTGAGTTTCTTTCCTTTTCCAAATTAGAAATACTTATTTCTATTAGTAGTCAATGTCTGGCAGTTCTCTAAAGGGCAGTTATTTGAACGAATTTTCATTTAGTATGTAAGTGGTTTTTGAAAAATGAAGTCTGAATGATATTTTCTAATTAATATTGGAGCCCATCAATTTAACAAGACATCATATTGGTTCTTATATTGTTTTTTTTGTAACCAAATGCTCTGGTTCCTGGTATTTTTGTTGTTATTGAGATGAGTTTTTTTGGAGATTATTTTCCATAATCTCTTATCAAATAATATAAGTTGCAAAGTTAAAAAAAAAATGGTTTCATCCATTTGATGGTTTATAATTTTCCAATATCTCTCTCATGGACTAAACAAACTTTCTTGACTTAAGATTGGTTGTCATTACACTTCATGAAGAATATTATTATGATTTTTTCATGTCACTCCGGCTTCCTCAAATGAGAAGTGTTTTTCCCTCCTTTAGAATACTGATATTAAGTTTTCTGTGCTAATAATATAATTTCTTGTGATGTCAGTGTTAGTGCTCAATGAGGTTGACAAGCTTTCAAGGGAAGCCCAGCATTCTCTCCGAAGAACCATGGAGAAATATAGTGCATCTTGCCGGCTAATTCTGTGCTGTAATAGTTCTTCAAAGGTCACAGAGGCTATCCGGTCTCGCTGTCTGAATATTCGAATAAATGCACCTTCAGAAGAAGAGGTTGTTAAATGTAAAACTTGTCACTTTTTATTGCTTGAATTGATATTTAAATTCTAAGCTGCATTCCTCCCAAGATCCCAAGTGACCATGCAGGCATGTAAAAAGGTTACACTATATAGGGAGAGTAGATTTTACCCATCCTAGATACGTAACCATGGAAAATGATTTGTGGATTTCTGTTAGAATTTATAGGAGGATTGTGTACTATTTTCTTCCTTGTTTATCTGGCATCACATTTGTAGAATTTTGACCATATGAGATAGTGGAAAATTAAGTTCTGACTGAGTCTGTCAACAATTTCTTTAATATCTCACTACTTTATTACATGAATTCTTTTTTGGGCAGACTGTTAAGGTTTTGGAGTTTATTGGAAAGAAGGAAAATCTGCAACTCCCACCTGGTTTTGCTGCTCGAATTGCAGAGAAATCCAATCGGAACTTAAGAAGAGCTATTTTGTCATTTGAAACTTGCCGTGTCCAACAGTTAAGATCCATACTCTATAGCTGCTAATTATCTTCATTGGACTGGTTGACTGTGTAATTTATTATATCTATGGTCTGTGACTCTATTTTCCTTTTTTTCTGATTATAGGTACCCTTTCGAGAATAATCAGGCAATTCCACCAATGGATTGGGAAGAATATATTTCCGAAATAGCAACAGACATAATGAAGGAGCAAAGTCCTAAAAGGTGCCATTTGCTTATTTATTTTTTGGTGTCCTTTTTAAAAATACTGAAATTGTTGTTGTTGTTAATATTATTATTATTTTCATTCTTATAGCAGCATAATCCATAAATTCATCTCTATTTTGCACTTTATAGCTTCCCATAATTCCAATCTTTTGTTAGCCCAACTACCTGTTTCTCTTTCTTCGTTTCCAGAGTAAAATTTGAGGTTGTATGAATGTTCACATATCTTTTTCTTTTTAAGAGCTCTCTGAATTGGATATCAATGTTACTCATTTATGATTCATCTGTTAGTAAGTTTCGCATGGTAATAATGAATTAGTTTTTGAAATTGCTTTATTGTAATTCAGTGTCAGAAACTGCCATCTAGAAAGAGGGAATTTACATTTTTCATCTGCGTTCTGCTTCATGCTGATCAGACTTTTTTCTATGTGCTTTAGGCTGTTTCAAGTTCGAGGAAAGGTGTATGAGCTGCTTATTAATTGCATTCCTCCAGAGATTGTTTTGAAGGTAAAAACAGCCCATTATTATTTGTTGTCCTGCATTGCTTTCCACATTTAAAGTATATTTCTTTTTGCTGTCTCAGAGGTTGCTTCATGAGTTGTTGAAGAAATTGGATGCAGAGCTAAAGCATGAAGTCTGCCATTGGGCTGCATATTATGTAAGTTCATTTTTTTTTCCTTTCATGTTCTTCTATAAGGGTTGTTATTTCTCTTGTGGTATTTTTTAAAATTTCTATTGCTTATCAAATTGTGGCTGGTGACAATGTTATGCATGAATCATTTGTTCATCATGTGGATCTCAACTCAATTGCCATCCAAGTTCCCAATATTCATTTTTTTAAAATTTTGGTGATTTATGTGCTTGGCAAGTATTTTTTCTTCATGTTTGAGTGGTGAAGAATATAATGTACTGAGCTTCTTTTTGGAATAAATTCTCTGTTTACGATAAATGAATAACAACTCTACAATTATGCGCATACTCATATATGGGGATTTGTTGGAATAAAGTTATTATTAATTAGGATGTAGTAACTGCCTCTGGGTTTGCTTTATCTAAATTAGAAATTGTAAATTTTTCCCATGCTCTATTTCATTTTATACCAATCTTTTGACTCTGCTATGTCTTGTATCTCCACAGGAACATAGGATGCATCTTGGACAAAAGGCCATATTTCACATTGAAGGTGACTAAAATATTCCTAGAAATTGTCTTGTACCCCAGCATACACTTGCTTTCTATTATGTCTGCTCTAAACTGCTTGATACAAGTCCTCTAAAACACATGCTTATACCATTAACTAATCAAACTGCTGAAATTATTCGTTGAATTATTGCAGCATTCTTGAATGTAGAGAGTATGTGTACATTATTATAGATCAGGTTCACTTCCTTTTTGTTTAGAGTAGGTGATACAGAAGTAAATTAGATGAGTCCAACTCGAATGAATTCATCTAGAAGGTGCTAGAGAGGGCTACAGCCTAACTGGGGACATGTTAGTTATTTATGAAAATAGATCAGGTTTCACTTCCTTTTTGTTCGGAGTAGGTAATATAGAAGTAAATTAGATGAGTCCAACTCAAATGAATTCATCTAGAAGCAGCTAGAGAGGGCTACAGCCTAACTGGGGACATGCTAGTTATTTATGAAAATACGATGCCTCTCCAAACTATGGTCACCGAATTTTGGCATTCTTTTGGCAGTACCGACCCTTGTTCTTATTATATATGTAAGTTGTAACAAAGTTAAACTAATCCTAACAAGGTTAAAAGTATAAATGGTTGGTAGGATCTGAAGGAATATTTGGCCTCTTATATTATTTTCAATTGCTTGACTGGTTGTTTCTCATTCATTTATAAATCTAACCAAAAAATCTGAAACATGGCTGAGAAGACTTATGTTTTTCTTGACCAATCTTTTGCAGCATTTGTGGCAAAGTTTATGAGCATCTATAAGGGTTTCCTCATTGCAACATTTGGTTGAAGAACGGATCGAATGGAATGCTTTCTAATGCAATGTCATGTGCTTTATTTTGCAGAGTCCTGTTACAAATTGTTGTTTCATGGTGTTAGATTTAGTAGTTTGGCATTATTATGTTTCTGAAAATGTTTGAAGTGCTTGTCTGTTGCCAGCAAAAAATAGTTGTAAGGATTAAGGAGCAAGAGTTAGCGAGTTTTTAAAAAATGCCAAGGCTGAAAATGACTTTTTGAAGGAGCAAACTCCCTTTTAAAAAATTAAAAAAAAAATTTGGCAAAGGGGATACTCCCTTATACCTTTACCAATTCTAGCTGCATGCATGCCTGGGATTCAATCCCAACCTCTTACTGTCAAATATCTGCATATTAGTTATGACCATTGTGATAGAAATAATTTGAACAAAAGCCACCAAAATAAAAAATTAAGATTTTAATCAATCAATAAAACAAATTATTTTATTGTTCTGGCAGCCCTCCATGGCTTTCCGTTTCTGTTGCAGCCTGTTCCATGCCATCTGTAACGTCTAGAGTAAATTTTGCTATTATTAGATTGCTTAATTCAACCTTCTAAGGGAGGGATCAAGAATTAGAAGTTGGTGATGTTTTCTATTTATTTATTTTCTTTTAGAAAGTGATGCTTTTATTATTTTTTTTTATTTTATTTTATTTTATGATTTAGTTTATAAATTTGTTTAAAACTTCGGCAAGTCGTCAAACTGACAAAAAAAAAGAAGTCAATTAGCCGACGTCCCTCAACAATTCAATAATAGGCATATTATATATTAGAATACATTTCCTTAATAGGATATCATAAAATTAAAAATTAAAAATGAGAACCATCTACATTTAAAATATTAACATTATTTGCATCCGTAGCACTTATTACATTGGATAAGGTGCATATATATCAAGGTTAAGACCTTGATTCTAATCATTGTAAAACCCTCTTTCCTCGTATTCTCTATGTTCAAAATATATATATATATTAACGTTGTTTGTTGATAACAATGATTTTGCTATTAACGGTAAAGCTAGAATTCCATACTATTGATCTCTTTAGATGGATGACTAGATGGAAGAAGAAAGATTGAACCCAACAAACTAGACGAACTCTCGACTCGTAGGAAACTCGCGCATGACTAAAAGGAAAACTCTTTAATGTGTACACCAAAAATGGGTTTAGCATACGCATCTTGGTACTCAAGTAATTAATATTCCAATGAAGAAGGGATAGATGGACTCCTTCTTGAAGAAAACGAGGAAGAGGAAGCTAAGGAAGATGATCTCAGAGGATGAGGAAATTTGAAAGAACATGGAATTAGAAGCAAATATTGCTGATGTAGACACTGATGAAGTTAATAAGGCAGAGGAATATGAAGCTTGGAAGGGTAGAGAAATTGCTAGGATTAAGAGGGACAGGGAGGAAAGAGAGGCAATAATGTTGAAGGAGAAGTAAGAGATTGAGAGGGTGAGGAACATGACTAAGGAAGAGAGAAGAGAATGGGAGAGAAAGAATCCCGAACCTACTCCACCACCCAAAAAAAGGTGGAAGTTGATGCAGAAATACTACCACAAGGGTGCTTTCTTCTAGTCAGATTCCCATGATCTTGCTGCAACTGCTGTTTCATACAACATTTATAAACGTGATTTCTCTACCCCTACTGGAGAAGATCAGATGAATAAAACCATATTACCTAAAGTCATGCTGGCTAAACACTTTGGTCATAGCAGGCGAACCAAATGGACCCGTGTTGTGAATGAAGATGCAACCGATCCTGACATTCTGTAAGTAAACCTTGGATTTCCCACTAATTTACTACAGTCCTGTTTACTTTGAGCTATCTTCTGGATTTAGAATAATGTTCCTCATAACCTAGCAAATGGGAAGCATTTTGCATCTATCTTCTCTATAAACCTTGACTTTCTTATGTAAATGATTTGTAGATGGGCCTACAAATACAATGATCCAATTCGAGCAAAGTACATTTCAAAAATGGCAGCGATGAATGCACCCATGGCAAAATCTAAAGGAATCAAGAAGTCGAAGGATTGGGAGTCCAAATGAAGTTGATTAGTAGTCCAACCGATTGAGCACATTCTGATGCATATAATACCTGCCCTCTTGATCCTATTGTAGACAATTGTTTTTATAATTTTCTTCCCAACTTATTAGTTACTACAAAATTTATATGAATAATCATAGTTAGGACCAATTTTTGAGAACAAATTTTCGGACAAATTTATGATAGTCATTGATTGTAATATGAATTTTGTATATGAATCACATGATTAACAATTGAAATAATTTTACTTAATATTTTTTTCTAAAATTTTACGACAAGAATCATTATTCTAATGTGTGTACATGTAGATTGTAGTCAATTGAATTTAGAGTTCATCATGTGGGAAATGAATGAGAATATTTATTAACCTGAAATGGGTGGAGAGATCTATTATCTCATAACCTCTAATTGTTTCAACGTGCTTTGAAGTTTATTAAGTAGTAACCATATACAAATTTTTTTTTAAGGAACAGCCTAGTTGTAGTAAAAAAAATTATTGGTCAATTAAAAAAATACTATGTATCAATTTTAGGTTTTGAAAATAATATTATTCTTGACCTATTAAAATTAATCTAATGGTGCCTTTGGACAAATCACAAAATGCCATATGTCTCAATGACAATTCAATTACATGAAAGGAAAACTTGTTCTTCAAGAAATATATATTAGAAATAATTTTATTAAATTAAAATATTTGTTGTTCCAACCATTAGGATTAAAGCATTTTTATAACTTGTCAAGTAAAAATAAAACCCTTGCCCTAAATTGCCAGAGATATATTTGGAAATAAACCCAAGCCTATAAAGGAGAGCCTTATTAAGGCTTTTTTGCACATATATTATATGTAAAAAACCCAAAGGCAAATTTCAAGAATTAAACTCTCTAAAGATCTCTTCTTAACGAGAAATAAACAAAAAATTAAAGGATGTGAAGATCTAACAAATAAAAGATCAAATAACACAAAGAATGAAGAACAAGTGAAAAATGCAAAGATTAAGTAGCATTCATCACTTATTTTCTTACTAAAAGGAATTTTGATCTTATCTAACGAAAAAATTGAAAACTTCATTTGTTCAAAAACAAGTAGATAAAGACCCTCATGCAAGAAGTCAAGATCAAGATATTTTATTCGAAGAGAAGAATTAAAGAATTAAAATTTTAAAGATTATAACATACAAACTTTTATCAAATTTATAATTTTGTATAAAAATTTTCAATAATTTTTTTTTTTTTATTGTGTACACTAGTATTTGAAACCCTCATGGGGGAGGAGGGTTGAGAAGGGGAATAAAAGTTCTAACCCCGACCATACGGGTGAGGAAGTGTCTTTTTGCTAATAATTTGGCTAGTTACGAAGAAGTGCCTTTTTACCAATGGTTTTGCCAATTTTCAGTAGGCACAATTACTTTGCCTGCCTTCTGTTGGGTTAGACCAATCCCTCCTATATGGAGAAATGGCCAAATTTTGGTGGACTAAGCCCACACAAAGCCCACATTTTGGTCCATGATTCAACAGCTCATTAAACACAAAGAAAGGGTTTGTTTCTTGGTGGTGTAGAGAGCATGCGAGAGCACTTGTGAGACCGGAGCCGACTATACAGTGCGATGTTCTACCATTTTGTTCTGACTCGCAAAATTTCATAGTTGGATTGAGTTGAAATTTTTGTATAGGTGTTCATGAGATATTCACTTACAATCTAAATGTTTAATTTTTTGTTTGTTAGAGTTTTGTAGATTCTAATTTCATACTAAAATAGTAGATCAATTTTAGTGATATTTTTCTCTTTGCAATTTTATTTTTTTGTTGCTTTGTGGCTTATTATTTCTTCTGTTTAGTGTGATTTTTGTACCTTTTTAGAAGATGGCCTAATGCCGTCTCTTTGATTATAGTAGAGCTTTTTGGTGGATTGGACATCCCATGACTTTTGTTTGTTTTTTGGATTTTTTTTATGTAAAAAGCTTGTGTCTCTTGTGGTGATTGTTTTTGTTTTAATCATCTATCATATTTTGCATTTTAGTTGCTAACATATGTTATTTAAGTTCACTTTAGTTAACTCCTAACAGTTTTAGATAGATTGGAGAAGATTTTGATGTTTTTATTTTCACTCTGCCTAACTAACACTAAGTTTTCCTATGCAAACTCCAAACAAAAAAGGATCTATTTCCATTCCTAAACCCCCTTTCATCACCTACATATACACAACTCAAAAATGTCAGTATGGATAAATTCGAAGGCCTGATGGTATATAGGGTTCAGGTCTTCATGGTTTTGGCATTGATCATGAGGAAATGCCAGATGCACACATATTCAACTTTCAGCTTCTGCAATTCAATAAGGAGGAGGTGAAGGTAGATGCAAAAGACAATTTTCTCCTAATCCAGGGAGAGGAGATGAAAAGAGG